TCCTGGCCATCATTTCTTTCAGTTAACGCCAATAAGCGTTGTTCTAGGTCTCGCATTCCCCTGGTATTTTCTTCTCGTATTGTTTGGAAATCCTGTTGTCACTGGAGGTTATTGCGGTTTTCGAATTCAGTCATTCGCTGCATTATTGCAGCAAAAGCATTATGAGCCAGCTAAGAATCTAGATCCGCTGACTGGGCAACGCGGGCAGCCAAATCCCCGGGGTGCTGGGAATGGTTGATCCTTACTGGAACCATGATTAATCAGCACCCCTATCACGACGCGCTGGTGTGGAGGCGGTGTCTGAGACATCTTCACTGACATGGACATGATCATAATCCACATCGTTTCCCAGTTGGTATTGAAGCTGATTTGCCTCCTCCAAAACTGGATCCAGCGGCTGGTTTTCTCATATATATCTTTCTCCAAGTACGTTACGCTCTCTCTTACTGTTATGTTGTCACTGTGCGCACATCAACTTATTAACAGTTTAAACTACATGACAGTTTAAATTTTACTTTAAAATATAAATTTGATAATAATTTTATATTTTAAAGTAAAATTTAAACTGTCATGTCGATTAGGCTTATCAAATTTAGAAAGATATATATGAGAAAATTTTATTTCTATATACACATAAAAATGTGTGGAATTCACATTTTTTTTCTTTTCTCTCCACACGGTCCCACGTTGATCACGTGAAACATCGAACCGTATATATATATATATATATATATATATATATATATATATATATATATATATATATAGGAGTAAACACCCTTTTTAGTCCCTGTCAATATCTACGAAGTCCTTTTTAGTCCCTGGCAATAAAAAAGGACCAAATTGGTCCATGAAATTACAAAAAAAGGGCCATGTTAGTCCTAATGTCAACTCCCAAATATGTAGAGTGGCCATTTTCTTGTACTTTCAGGGACCAATTTGGTCCTTTTTTATTACCAGGGACTGAAAAGGACTTCGTAGATATTTCTAGGGACTAAAAATGGTGTTTACTATATATATATATATATATATATATATATATATATATATATATATAATAGTGGCGGACCTAGGTTAGTGTAAGTGTGTGCAAGTGCACACACAAATTTTTTGAAAAAAAAGAATAAAATATATTTTGGGTCATTAACAAAAATTATAGGATCCAATTTAATCTCTTAAAAAGAAAGTTGACTCGTGATCCCTTTAAATTCTAAAATAAATCAATGTTAGTCCTTTTGAGGGATTAGCGTGGGTCCTTTTGAATTTCAGAGCATCAAGATTTTGATTATCTGGATCTATTTTTAAATTCTGAGTGATCACGAGTAGATTTTTTTTCCTAAGAGATTAAATTGAGGCCGTAATTTTTGTTGATTACCCAAAATATTGTATTGTAACAGTTTAGTTGACTCTTGATTATTTTTTTTATATTATATTAAAGTTTTTTTTTATATATTCTTTTGTATTTAATATATTTAAATTTTTTTTCTTTATTCTTTTATTGTAATTGTGCAGACATTAAATTTTTTTTCTAGGTCCGCTATTATATATATATATATATATATATATATATATATATATATATATATATATTGTGACTTTTATGAGTTTATTTTTATTACTTAATTTATAACCTTTATTGCTTAATTTATATTTTATATAAATTTATAACTTTTACTATATAATCAAACATATTTTGCATAAAATTTGTGATTTTTAAAATAATAAAACAATATTGCATTTTAGAGAGAGTAACCAGATATTGCCGTAAAATTCTTTTAATATCTATCTATGTTTTCAATTACTTTAAATTCTCACTCGCTTTTTAGATTGTAGGGAGATTTTGTCTCCAATTATAGGATCTTAATTATTGCAAAAAGGTACAATATCATCATAGTGAAAGAATATTTTTCCACGCAAGTAGTGGAACACGGTTGATAAAGAACGGTGCTAATTATTATCACACGTTGCCTTCTCACATGCAACAGTAGCATGCGAAACAAATAATACTTCAGCTCACCCACCACCATAGGCGGACCCACGGGGAGGTGCTAGGGTTGGTCACCGCCCCTCCCTGATTTTTAGAATTTTTTATTATATATATATATAATTTTGGGCTGAAAAAAAATTAATTTTGAATTGAAAAATTAAGTAATTGGGCTGAAAATTTTAAAAACAATTAAATAAACACAAATTTAGAAATTGAAATTGTAGTTTTTTCCAAAGGAAGGAGCAAATTTTTAGGGCTCAAGAAAAAATTTCAAAATCAGGCACACTTGATTATTAAGAGGGTGACGAAAATCATTGTCAAAGAAGACAACAACAAAACATACAAACAAGAGTTCCAATTTTTTGAGCTAAATATTGAGGAAGGAAAAGAGTCTGCATCCATTGTAAAATGAAAGATAATCAAGATCAGACTTCAAAATTGAATGAAAACCAATTTCTTGATGATTCTTTGATTACATATGTTGAAAAAGAAATTGTTTTGAATTTTAGCACAAATTCAATTATAGAAGAGTTTAATAATATGAAAAATACGTAAAACAAGAGTTAAGTAAATTGACCTTAAATTTTGTAATAAAATTCTTTCAAACTTTTTATATTAGATTCATATATGATTGTATAATTTTATATGTTAAAGTAAAATTTAAACTGTCATGTAGTTTAAGCTTATCAAATTTAGAAAGATATATATGAGAAAATTTTATTCCTATATACACATAAAAATGTGTGGAATTCACATTTTTTTTTTCTTTTCTCTCCACATGGTCCCACGTTGATCACGTGAAACATCGAACCGTATGTATATATATATATATATATATATATATATATACACACACACAGTGGCGGACCTAGGTTAGTGTAAGTGTGTGCAAGTGCACACACAAATTTTTTGAAAAAAAAGAATAAAATATATTTTGGGTCATTAACAAAAATTACAGGATCCAATTTAATCTCATAAAAAGAAAGTTGACTCGTAATCCCTTTACATTCTAAAATAAATCTATGTTAGTCCTTTTGAGGGATTAGTGTGGGTCCTTTTGAATTTCAGAGCATCATGATTTTGATTATCTGGATCTATTTTTAAATTCTGAGTGATCACAAGTAGATTTTTTTTCCTAAGAGATTAAATTGAGGCCGTAATTTTTGTTGATGACCCAAAATATTCTATTATAACAGTTTAGTTGACTCTTGATTAATTTTTTATATTAGATTAAAGTTTTTTTTATATATTCTTTTGTATTTTTTATATTTAAAAAAAAAATTCTTTATTCTTTTATTGTAAATGTGCAGACATTAAATTTTTTTTCTAGGTCCACTATTGTATATATATATATGCTTGTGACTTTTTTGAGTTTATTTTTATCACTTAATTTATAACCTTTATTGCTTAATTTATATTTTATATAAATTTATAACTTTTACTATATAATCAAACATATTTTGCATAAAATTTGTGATTTTTAAAATAATAATACAATATTGCATTTTAGAGAGAGTAACCAGATATTGCCGAAAAATTCTTTTAATATCTATCTATGTTTTCAATTACTTTAAATTCTCACTCGCTTTTTAGATTGTAGGGAGATTTTGTCTCCAATTATAGGATCTTAATTATTGCAAAAAGGTACAATATCATCAGTGTGAAAGAATATTTTTCCACGCAAATAGTGAAACACGGTTGATAAAGAACGGTGCTAATTATTATCACACGCTGCCTTCTCACATGCAACAGTAGCAGCATGCGAAACAAATAATACTTCAGCTCACCCACCATCCATAGGCGGAGCCAGGGAGGGGCTAGGGTTGGCCACCGCCCCTCCCTGATTTTTAGAAATTTTTTTATTATATATATATAATTTTGGGTTGAAAAAAAATTAATTTTGGACTAAAAAAATTAAGTAATTGGGCTGAAAATTTCAAAAACACTTAAATAAACATAACTTTAAAAATTGAAATTGTAGTTTTTTCCAAAGGAAAGAGCAAACTTTTACGGCTCAAGAAAAAATTTCAAAATCAGGCACACTTGATTATTAAGAGAGTGGCGAAAATTATTGTCAAAGAAGACAACAACAAAACACACAAACAAGAGTTATAATTTTTTGAGCTAAATATTGAGGAAGGAAAAGAATCCGCATCCATTGTCAAATGAAAGATAATCAAGATCAGACTTCAAAATTGAATGGAAAACCAATTTCTTGATGATTCTTTGATTACATATGTTGAAAAAGAAATTGATTTGAATTTTAGCACAAATTCACTTATAGAAGAGTTAAGTGAATTGACCTTAAATTTTATAATAAATTCTTTGAAACTTTTTATATTAGATTCATATATGATTGTACGTACTTTTCTTAATAATATAAAAAACATTCGCCACCTTCTATAAAACTTTTTGGGTCCGCCACTGCCCAACACGAGCCTTTTCTATTCGTGCTAACCATGAGAGAAACTAATGCAGTTGGTTTGTTAGTGAATTAGTTAGCTTTCTGTTTATAATTTGTTAAGTTAGTTTCTCTTGTATTCAAGTTGGTTTTGCGGAGTTAGAAGCTTAGTAGTTTAAGTTCTTGTTTCTGAGTTCATGTATATATATAGACTTGACCCTTCTGTAATAATTCAGTTTTGTAAATAATGAAATCTCTCAAATTTGTGAATTATAACCATTAATACTTGTAATAAAAATAGTAGTGAAAGATGATAAATACAATCTAATGATAACTATGATCTGTCTTTTGTATAGATATATAAATGGATACATGAACAGTTCATTATACTGATCAAACACCACATATATATTGTAATTAATTGATGACAGAAGTACACATTGTTTCTCCTAGCAAAGATTGAGAGGACCAATGAAAATGTAATCTAAATAGCAAACTTTCATTTGCATTGAACGTGTCTTCTCATGATCTAAACTTTTATCTACTTTGAAAAAACTTAACCAAATCATACTCCAAGAAAGTAAGAAACCAACATAACCAAAAGTGTTAGGAAAGAGGATATTTGAGAAAGGAGATTTCTTAGAAAGATTTAGATAGAAGAGGCATGATCTATTTTTGACTTGACACAAAATGGTCGAGAACACACTTAGTTATACTAGTAAATGAGTGCTTCGTCAAAGCATGAGAAAATTTAGGGAAGGTAGGAGGAGTCTTGTCGAGATGGGGTGGCATTGCAGGGGCTGCGGCGGAAACGGCAGCAGTTGAAGTGGTGCGGGCACGGGATGCAGAAGAGGCGGAAGCAGAGGCGTTTAACGGGGGCGGGGGGTGGGACACGTCGATTTGGTGGGAAATGTGGAAAATCTCGGTTCCAATGAAGATCGTAAGGAGGGACGCGACCCATCAATGAGGACTCTGACTCAACAACGGAAGTCACTTGATGGGAGAAACGTTTTTTATTTTTGGGGATATGCAATGGTTTAGAAAATGGCTTCTTATCAAATAATGGAATCGGTTTCTTCAAATATGGCTTCTTCAATGTTGGTTTGGGATGGTTAATTCCTTTCAATTTTGCTTCTTTCTCATCATCAACTTCTTCCCTTGTCTTTGCCAACTCTTCTTTTAAAACCTTCCCATCTGTCTTCACTTCATTCCCTGCGCAAGGATATAAATAATTTGTAAATTTAAGTGTTCTATCAAAGTGAATTTGAGTTGGTGACAGAATAAAGAGTGTAAGGATAATGAGTTACACAAACCAGAAACATTTGTTGTTGCCACGCCAAATTCAGCATAACAAAAGGTGACAGCAAGCAACAAGGGAACCCACAAGCGCACAAGTACTGTGCACTGCATAGTGGAAGCCTTTCTCATTGAGAAAACAATTAGACCACACCAAAGTATGGCACTCAAAGCTCAATCTGTATTATTGAGCCTTAAATAGCTAGCATGACATAAATGAGACAGGAAGCTTCGTGGAACCTACTCAGATTTTGGTAAAATGGTTTAATATTTCTCATGTTATGAGAAATAAATTTATCTTCTACACATATAAAAATATGTAAGACCTGTTATGGACCTGACATAGAAGCTCATATTCTAAAATGCTCAAGAAGGACTAACAACTAACATAGATATTAAGGAAAGATTCTATAATTGTACAAATCCTAATACGACAGTAATAGATCAAGAACTAAACTCCCAATATTTCTAAGAGGCCCAGAAGTTCACTCTTGCCAGGTAACTCATCTATAAATAAGGGGTTAGGCCAATAAGGTATACTTTGGAAGTTTATTACTATTTATCTTAGGAAATTTTCTTATATTTAGGATTTTAGATTTTTAAATTTTGGATCACTTTATAATTAGTCGATAAAAGGGTGCTTATGATCCTTATTCTAGGAGTTGAATATTTTATTATTTTGATAATTATAATTGAAAACCACACAATTACTCTTTTATAAAACTTTAACCTTTTATTTAGCTTACTTTTCTATGCAGTTTCAGATTGAATCTCATAATTTTTATGGTTACGATATATGACCAAAAAAAAAAAACGTGGGCATAAGTCACACAAACCCTAAATATGAGTTGTTGCCACCGTAAATTTAGTATAAAAAAGCTTACAACAAGGGAAAACAGAAGCGCGCAAGTGTGCACCGCAGAGTGGAAGGCTTTCACATTGATAAAAAAACTAGGCAACAGGCAACACCAAGGTATGGGAATCAAATGTCAATGTGAAAATATTTTCTGAAAGCCTGACTTGCATTATTAAGTCTTAAATAGCTGGCTTGCGATAAATGATAGAGGAAGCTTCGTGGAAGCCACATTCGTAAAATCAAAATTTTTCTACTAAGAAATATGTATTAAATACATAGATTAGGATAAAGAAAATTGAATTTTCTTAAAAAAAAGAAGAAAAAAGAAAAGAGAAGAGAATTGTGTTCTACGTTTTTAGGGTTTTTATAATAACAAATAAGTTAAACCATATTAATTTACAGTATACTTTTAGTTTTAAAATTTGTTAAAGGATTTGGTAGACAATGATTTGGTACTTTAATTAAACAGAAATAAGATACATAAATATAAAAAACAAAAAATTAGATACATATAAAATTAAGAGAAAAACATAAGAGAGACAAAAACATAAGAAAGACAAAAACAAAAGAGAAAAAAATAATAACGAGAGAGAAAAAAATAGAATAAAGAAAAAAAATAGAGATGCAAGAACCATTGAAACCTGTGACAGAACTGTCTTAGTGCGTAGTTCAAAAGAGGAAGACAAAATGCATGTACTTAAAAGTATTCTTGTATGCAAGGTTTTAGAAGGAAAAAAAAGGAAGGGAGGATAATGTTGCGTAAAATCGGCAAGTGCACCAATCGTACCAAGTAATAAAATAGTGAGTAAGATATCGTCCCACGAGGATTGAGGCACCAAATTTAATTTAACTTTTCCTTTCTTATTGGATGAACAAGAATTGGTTTGAAAGTAATGGTGTTTGTAATAATTGTGAACTATTCAATAATTTATGAACAATTCAGAGAGAAATTTGAAGAAATTAAAATTAAAGGTTGAGAGTTGAGAAAATATTGTAAAGAAACTATTGCAGTAAAGGACTCTAACACCTTTTCGATCTCCACCTTGTAATATTGATTAATGTTTATCTTTAATTATCCAATTGACCAAATAATTCACCATCTATAGTTAATGAGTTAAGCCCTAATCCCTTAGTGATCTTAACCTTATTAGAATCCTAATCCCTTATAAATCTCTTTTCAAGTTAATCTTTAAGCCCAGTGAATTTTCCACGTTTGCAGTTCATATAGCCTATCCCTAGTGCATACATGAACAGTTATCTTACCCTTTGTTAGAAATTAGAATCCCAATATTCCTATTGTAAACCCTAACCCTCGCAATCCTAATAGAGTGATCAATTCTAAAAGAACTAAAGATGAAGAATAGAGTAAAATAAATTCAATTGAAATAATTAACTATAAACTTAACCAAAAATACAAGGGGTTCACATCAAGGGTTGTGACCCTTACCACAATATAAAGAAACTAGCTAGACATATTCATGTCTGACAAAATAAAATACTCAAAAGAATTCATAAAACTAAAATTAACCGGAAAGAATGGAAGAAGAAATCTTGATTCTTCAGGCACCGAAAGCTCGCTCCGATTCCTGTTGCTCATAATTTCTCCGTGCGAAAAGTGTGTTTTTCTCTTGAGGTATGAGTCTCTATTTATAGTCTTTGACCTGATGGAGAATCTTGATCTAATCTTTTCCGCATCTCACTGTAATCTTGTCTCTGATTTGAAAGAGATTTAATTCTGATTTTTCCGCACCTCCCATGCCACTAGCGTGGTTACCACGCTGTGAGCGTGGGAGTTTTCCTTCATATTCCTGGAGCACCACGCAACTAGCGTGGCTTCCACGCTGCAAGCGTGGGTTTTTGTTAGAGTCTGGCACTACTCGCGTGGTAGCTTCTGCTCATTTTGGACTTCTGGCGCTACTAGTATGGTTCCCACGCCAGTAGCGTGGATGCTTTTGCCTGAAAGGGCTCCCTTCACGCTATGAGTGTCATACCCACGCTGTGAGCGTGGGCCTTCAGTTTAGATTTTCCTCTTTAGCTCCAATTTGTCTGTTTTTCCTACGAAATCAACACAAAATCAGTATGCAATCTCTAATTAAGATTTTGACAGATCAACAGTGATTATTGCTCTTTTTCTTAAGATTTAATCAACATTCTTTCTCTTTTTGGCTTAGATTTCCTTATATGCTGAGCGCATATCAAACAATTCCCATATTTGAACTTTGCTGTCCTCAGCAATGTAATAGATACAAGTTGTCAGCAAGGAATAATCCAGTGAAAACATGGAACACAACATCTTAAGAATTCAGACTGCTCTGCATGTATAACTCTCTATTTAAAACTTCCAACAATGCTTTTCAGTAATATCAAGAATTTAGACCCTAGTGTGAACATTTCCTCATCAGTTTAAATGTACTCTCATCACACTCAGTGTTTAAGGGTTTCACACTTATCCGTCAGTGTAGCAGGAATTCCATAGGCTTGAACTTATTCTCAATTCCTAAAAATGAGGAATCCATTTGACATGCATAGACTGATCAAAAGGTCTTTGATAGGTTATAACTTGGCCTGGTTTGGAGGTGAGAATCTTTGGGTTAGAAGCTGATTGGAGAGATTGAAATACTGAGTTTGACAATACTTCCTTCTCTTCTGGGCTTTGCCTCATTTTACAAACTTGGGATTCTTTCCCTTTTGTCACTACCTTTTTCTTTCCTTGTTTGCAGATGTTTTCTTTCTTTTCTCTTTTGAGCTGCAATTTTCTTCTTTTCCTTTTTCAGCTACTTAAGTTTTCCTTTTTGAGAAGTACTTTGACTTTTCTTCTTTGATCAGCATTCAATCTCTCAAGGTGTGTTAAGAGGAACATGATTAAGTAATTTTCATCAGGTTTGAATGAACTGGTTTAAGGCTCAAAGGGGCTTAACAATGGAAATTCTTATGGGTAGGCTGTTTGGCTCTAAGTTAACACGAATAAAAATGACCTTATCATTTCAGTCATGCATGCAAGCCAGAGAAACAGTTCAAGTTCTAGAAACTACTATAGTGAGGCCTCTAAAAAAAAATTCTGTTTATGCTCAATTCCTCACATAATTCAACTAGAATCGCAATTCAAAGTTTCACATCAAGCATTATCAAAAATTTCACCAAGACAGTTATAAAAACGAGCAGTCATCATTCTTAGATTAAAACAATTAATTGCTCACAGATATAATGCTTCATCCAACTCAATCTAATTACTTACTGAGTAAGCTTAGAACATTCTGGAACTGCTTGTTTAGAAATTCTCTAAAACTTTTCTCTCTTTTTTTTCTTTAAAAATTTAAATCTAACTAAAAACAGCAAAGAAAAAAAAATTGAAGGTTAAAATATCTCCCCTTTTCAGAAAAATTTCTGTTTAGACGTCCTTTCCGTGGTGTAGTTCCACGGTATTTAGCAAATCTCGCATACAGCATGCCATGCGACAATTCCTAAATTTAGAACATTGTTGTCCTCAGCAACAACTATACTAGTCGGAGAGCTAGTTCTGCCAGATGGAACACACACACACACACACACTTGTTAAACAGTAAACACAGAATTATCATGAAAATGTACTGCATAGGGAGAAGTAATGTAACCATATAACCCAACAATGTACTCAAAATATCAAAATGAAATGTCAAAGTAAATGTCGGGGTGCAGTGAGTGATAGTGATGCTATGAAAAATAAAATCAGGCGTCGTCCATGACAGCCTCAACATCAAGATCAGCTATCGCAGCATCATCAGCAAGATCAGCAATGGCAGCATCATCCGCAACAGGATCAGGATCCACAGCATCAGCAACAGGTGGCTCAGCCTGCTCAGGAGGTGGCGAAGGTGGTGGGAACTAAGGTCAGAAACTGGCAGTGTCAATCCCTTAGTCACTGCATAGCCGCTCCATCATAGTCATGATATACTAGTTCTCAAGCTGCATCCGTTGTGTGCGACGATCCAGAGCCTGGAGGAGAAGGGAAGCAGCGATAGGGGCTATGGCTGCTGCTGCTGGCTCATCATCCGGCTCAGGTGATGCCGGGGGTGGTGGTGGTATGGTGCCATCAGAGGCCTTCCAGACGGCCTGCCTGCGATACTCATTCCTTATAGCATGAAAATGGCGCTGAGTCATTTGCGTCTTGAGCTTTACATCTTGGGGCTCGTCCTCAGGTATCTCTACTCCGGGTTGCACACACAACTGTTCAATCAATGAGCAGTGTGCCAAGCGAAGGTCAGGCTTTTCCTGAGTGATGATGGAAACTATCCTATCAGACAGAATAGCTCCAATGTGAAGATTCTTCTCCCCCAGAAGAGTATACAATAGGACGGCTCTTTCCACATTGACATCACTCAGATTGGTGGAAGCTATAATGTTGGAGTTGATGAAAAAATGCCAGAAAATGGCCTCCTCATTAAGGTCCAGCCTATCTAATTTCTCAGGTACATCAGGCTGACCACTCTTTGGCTTCTAACACGAGCTGTCGAACTCGCGCAAATTAAAAATTATTTTTTATTTTATTAGGGTTCAGAAATTTTGTAGTAGAGTGGAAACCCTAAGTCGTCTCTCTCAAGGAAATTGCTTGGGTAAAAATCGTTTATCAAAACAGAAATTAAAAAGGGGGTTTTTTTGAATTTTGGTTGAATAATTTAAAAAGGCAGAATATGAGATTGGATTTAAAATTCGTAATTAAAAATAACCAACCTAAGGTTTGGGTTCCATGGACGTCTTTCCTCGGATAAGAAGATATCAGAATCGTGATTGATTTGTCAATCGAATCAGAATCCTTATTTCCAATGGACAACCCTCTCTACGCGATCGCTTAGCATTTGATCAAAGACGATGCTTCTACTCATACAATCGCAGAGTATCAGATCGCTTGATTTAAGGTCATAGGGTCAATCGACCTGATCATCAAATCTGATGATTAATCCCTTTCCATAATCGCAATCGCGAACCTCAGATTGAATATCCACGATCGCACGATATCAATCTGAGTTTGGAAGGGAAACGAAACTGATTTAAAATAAAGCGCAGACCCTCAAGACTAATCCATGGAATCCGTTACCCTTAGGTTGATTAAAAGGTTCTTAGCCTCGCATGGCTAAGGTAGACATAATTAAAATAAAAAGAAGAAGAAGAAAAAGATGAAGAACGCGAAGAACGCTTCAGAGAAAATACTTTGATCCTCAATTTCGAAGATTACAGAATGAATACAATGTTTCCTACTCTGCCGTCATATACCCCTACCCAAAGCGGGTTAGGGTTCAGTTCTGATCGGCCCATATATCTAAAATACAAAATAAAATAAATAAAATAAAATAAAACTTGGCTTTGGGCCACTTATGTAATTGGGTTTTAAATTACAAGTCTAAACTTCAGCAAAACACGTTCTTCTTGGCGTCCGAAATAGACCAGCTTCCAGTCCGAATTGGGCTTCTATCTCTTCATAAGAATTGTAGCTCTCTGTATTATCTAAAAAACCCAACAAGAACGGAGTCAATCCGACAACTGTGGACCGAGATATGGCTAAAATAAAGAAGTAACGTAAAGCTGAAAAATTCTGACGAAAATAAATTAAACCCAATCAAACACTAAAAATGTAAATTAACTCAAAACATCATTATTTTATTCAAATAAATCCTAAAAATACTAATCAAGAGTAACAAATAAGTGTAATAAAATACGAGTTATCAGCTTCTACTCAGATAGTGGCTGAGTGATGGCCACTCGGACTTCTTCAGCAATGGCAGGCATGTCTTCTCTATACAACCCCTCAGTGGGCTGTAGCCTGTTAAAAGTGTGGCTGAAGTGACATCTCGTGGGAGCATTCCAAGAGGTTTTCAGGAACCTCTCAATCTGAAAGGGTGTGAAGGAGACTTTTTTCCCCCTCACCCAGCTCATCCTGGTCTTGTCTACTGTTTCCTTGTCAGCATTTGCACATAATTCCTTCTAGAGAGTGCTGGAGCTGACTGTAGGGAATGTCACCAGATTCTGCCACTTCCTACTCTCTATGGTCTTCCTCACTGGGAAGTCTTCATCTAGATGCTCACTGATGGTTCGTTCTTGAATAATTTTCTTGTGGATGAACCAATTATAGTACCGGTCCTGGGCAGCAGGTGTGAGGAACCGGGTACTATCAAAATCCAGGAGAGCAGGGGCCCTAGGCCTCTTAGTGCCAGCTACACTACTTCCACTTGTCTTCTTTGCCACTTGTGCCTGCAGCCTTTTTAGCATTCTTTTTACCCTTTTCTCCAGCCATTGTGGGTATGTGAAGATATGAAATGGGTGAACCCTAACAATGATGCAAGTGAGATAGAAATTCCCAAATCTTTATCCAAAATGCAATACCCTCGATTGTGAACTGCAGTGGGATATGGTTGTGGTGGGTTCGAGTGATTGGAGGGGTAGAAGGGTTTCACCGGTGAAGAAGAGGAAGGTTTGAGTATGGTGGTGGAAGGTGAAATCGATGGTTGGAAGATGGCGGTTTGAGGTTTGGAGGTGGAACGATGGAGGTTGGAGATGGTGGTTTATGGTTAGGAATGTGGTGGGGCTAGGTGGTTAGGGCACGGTGGGACCACGGTGGTTAGTAGTGGGAGATGATGGTGAAGAAAGAGAGGAGATGGTGGTGCTGAGGGTGGTGGCTTGACGGAGAGAGAGAGAGTGAGAGTAAGGGAGGGAAAAGGGAGATTAGGGTTTTATTTTTTAAAAAACTGGATTTTTGAACCCACGCTCACAGCGTGGGTTTCACGCTGTGAGCGTGGAAGCTTCGGGCAATTTTTCCTGTCTGGCGCTCTCAGCGTGGATGGCCACGCTGGGAGCGTGGTGCCATTTTTTTAATTTTCCCACGCTGGGAGCGTCAACCTAACGTTTAGAGCGTGGAAGTTACTGCTCAATTTTCCTTTCTGACGCTGAGAGCGCCAAATCCATGCTCTCAGCATGGTATCTCTGCCTCTATTGGTTGTTCCATGCTAGTAGCGTGGACTCTCAGACTTGATTTTTTCGTCTATCACTTAATGCATCATTTTTTTTTTGAATTTTCTATTTTCTTAAAAAATTAAAAATTAGAAAATAAAAACTAAGAAATTCAAAAAAATTCTACTGGGTTGCCTCCCAGCAAGCGCTTGTTTAACGTCACGAGCCTGACTGGAACAATCTAATCTTCAAGTGAAGCTAGAGGGACAGAAATTTTATCTCGATTCATCTGTTCTCCATGATAGATTTTCAAGCTATTCCCATTGACCTTAAAAGGTCTGTCCTCATTGAGAGGGGAGATCTCGACTGTTCCATATGGAAAGACTTTCTTGATAACAAAAGGACCTGTGCAGCGAGATTTAAGCTTACCTGGAAACAACCTCAGTCGAGAGTTGTACAGTAATATCTGTTGTCCTGACTCGAGCTCTTTTGGCTGGATCTTCTTGTCATGCCATTTCTTTGTCTTCTCTTTATAAATCCTGGCATTTTCATAAGCTGCTAACTTGAACTCATCAAGCTCATTCAATTGCATTAATCGCTTTTCGTTAGCCTTTGATGGTTCGAAATTCAGAAATTTAATTGCCCACGTAGCCCTATGCTCAAACTCTACAGGAAGATGGCAAGACTTACCATACACCAGTTGGAATGGTGACATACCTATTGGTGTTTTGAAGGCGGTTCTGTATGCCCAGAGTGCACCATCCAACTTCTTGGACCAATCTTTCCTTGAGTGACTGACAGTCTTTTACAGGATCCTCTTCAGCTCTCTGTTTGAAATTTCAACTTGTCCGCTGGTCTGAGGATGGTATGGTGTAGCCACTTTGTGTTTGACACCATACTTTGTGAGCAGGCTGTCAAATTTTTTGTTGCAGAAGTAGGTGCCTCCATCATTGGTGATTGCACGAGGAACTCCAAAGCGAGTGAAAATGTTCTTCCGTAAGAAAGAGACGACCACCTTTGCATCGTTTGTGGACAAGGTAACTGCTTCTACCCACTTTGACACATAATCCACTGCAACCAATATGTACTGGTTTGAGTATGACGTAGGGAATGGTCCCATGAAGTCAATCCCTCAAACGTCAAAGAGCTCCACTTCTAGTATGCAGTTGAGTGGCATCTCATCTTTACGGGAGATGTTTCCCGTTCTCTGGCACTTGTCACACTTCTCCACAAAGTCATGTGCATCCTTGAAAATTGTAGGCCAGTAGTAGCCACTCTGTAGTACTTTCTGTGCAGGCTGGTTTTCTCCAAAATGTCCTCCATAGTCAGATGCGTGGCAATGCCATATAATATTCGGCATCTCAAATTCAGCTACGCACCTGCGAATAATACCATCAACACATTGAAAATATAAGAATGGATTATCCCAGTGGTACCTTCGTGTATCATGAAGGAATTTCTTTTTCTGCAGCCAAGTAAGATCATCAGGAATCGAACCGGCAGCTTTGTAGTTTGCAAAGTTTGTAAACCATGGATGCAATATTATGGCATCACTTTCTCATCAGGAAAAGACTCATTGACCTCAATTTCAGGTCCTTCTTGCAATTGCTTGTCCTGAATCCTCGACAAGTGATCGGCAACCTTATTCTCAACTCCAACTTTATCCTTGATTTCCAAGTCAAACTCTTGAAACAAGAGCATCCACCTTAGCAAACGTGGCTTTGCATCCTGATTGGTCATCAAATACTTAATGGCAGCATGGTCAGTAAAAACAATAACTTTAGAGCCTATCAAATAAGATCTAAATTTGTCTAATGCATAAACTACGGCTAGCATTTCTTTTTCAGTGGTGGCATAATTAGATTGTGCCTCATTAAAAACCTTGCTAGCATAGTAAATGACATGCAACCTTTTGTTTTTACGCTGACCAAGTACTGCACCCATGGCGTATGCGCTCGCATCACACATGAGTTCAAACGGAAGGCTCCAGTCTGGCGCTGTCAACACAAGCGCCGTAGTAAGCTTTTCCTTCAACACATTGAATGCATTGAGGCAAGCTTCATCAAAGTTGAAGTCTTGATCCTTCATCAACAGCTGGCTAAGAGGCTTTGCAATCTTTGAGAAGTCCTTGATAAATCTCTGGTAGAAACCTGCATGTCCTAAGAAACTTCGCACACCATTAATATTAACGGGAGGGGGAAGTTTTTCAATTAAAATCAGCTTAGCCTTATCCACTTCAATGCCCTTTTTAGAAATCTTATTGTAACACCCTCCCTTGTGTGCACCCAAGAGAGTTGTTTGCTAAGCGGAATTAGATTTTGTTCGTCATATATTTTAAGCACTGAAAAATCATTTTGATGTTGCTAATTAAAACTTATAATTGAAACCAGTTTCCTTATAAAATCAGAGTATACTTTCAAAATTTCTTAACTTGCTGAAAATATTAATTTTCCACAGATGTTATTGTCTTATAAAATTCGTATCAAATCAAGTTAAACGATTCAAAAAAATATTCCATGTAATCTAGAAAGAGCACGTCTGGGGCTTCGCGTGCATATAAAATAATAGTAAATCAGAGTTCGTTTGCCCCTCGTAACATGACTCGCAAAGTGCTCGCAAAACTGTTCAAAAATCAGCACTTAATAAAACGTCGGAAATTATTTTCGCAAAACGTTTCTAGAAGTTGTTTCCAAAATACTTGCTGATCATAAAAGTCTTGAAACAGCAATAACATCATAACTCAACAGTAATCCAAACTACTTAATTTAATACAATCGTCCATCAAATAAACAGCAACAACAAAAGTCCAAACAGCAGCACATAACAGCAGATATCCATATAATCATGTCTTCATATGCTCTTCCGTCCTCCTGCCATTTTGTAAAAATAGAAGCCCCAAAGGGGTGAGAAAAATCCCAGTAGTGTGGCGTGTGGCAACAAAACCAATAATGCAACAGTATTAAACTAGGCACAAAAATACAAAATAGTCGCTTCAACATTTATAATTTCTGAACAGCTGCTAACCATCATCATAGTGCGTATATAACGCCATAATCATCATAGTGCGTATATAACACCATCATTATCATAGCGCGTATATAACGCTATCATTATGCTCATAGCACTGTCGTGCGCGTACAAACACAGTGGAGATTCCATAAGTGGCTCCCTCAAAGGTGAATTCCAACTGTGGCCTATGCGGACGGAAGTCAAGTGTCCCATACCCTGGGACCGGAGGGATGCCTATATGATGCGTGCTCAATCATATGCATATATATATATATATATATATATATATATATTATACACTTCGGTTTCCATGCTGGATGCACAATGCTGTATGCCATGAAATGCTTCGAACACACCAAAGAAACAGATGGATTATGATGTACATATGCATGACTAGATCATTATCATAATAACATATCTTTCATGTACTTTCAATATAAGGCTGCCACATAACATTTACTTCTCATAGCAGAACTTCCATCAATCTCAAGTTCAAAGGCACAATCCATTTGACATATAACTAGGCATTACTTTTAAAGCACATGCGAGCAACAATTCACAATTCTACACACTAGTTAATAGTCACATTAGGTAATACCGCCTAACACTTACCTTGCGTGCCTCAAAATAATAACCAAACAGCAGCGAAAAATCCACACACTCACAAAACGTGCGCACCTATATACAAGCATAACAATCAGAATTTGCTTTACGCAATTCCTATAATTTACCAATAATTCTAGGCTTCTATTTCATGTGCCTATATCGAACTAAAAATGTTTTTAGTGCTCATTTACATTCTGCCTTTAGAGTAATTTAATTCCATGCTAGATCTACCAATATTTCCAAGGTTTACACCATGAGTGGGTTCGGTTTTTAAGACTTCTCCCAAGAGAATAATTTTCTGACTTTATCTCATTTAATTAAATTCATACAGCAACAATATCTAGCGTTTTTCCTAGGTTCCCACATGCATATTTATACGGTTTTCGCCATGCTTTCGTTCTTAACAACATTCTCACTTATAATTGTGTTACCAATGATTAACAACAATTAATTCCAAGGTTCTGATCAAGGCAGAATCGGTTAGCATCAATCAAGGAATTAAAGAGTTCTATTCTCATACTCAACTAGCTACCTATGGTGTGCTATCATTAGTCTACAACCTGCTGTCCATTTTATTTTAATTCATGTCAAGGTCAAGGTATGCTAAGGTACAACTCAACAGCCCCCCAATTCATTATAAGTTCCTTTTTAAGTTTATTTTTCATGCTTTCAAGCTAGGGTCCAGAGATTCACTAAGACAGAATCTAAAAGAGATGAAAATCAATAGAAGTACTACTTCCTAACAAGCTTCACGACTAGAGTAGAGAAGGGAAGAGGTTTGATTTTGGCTTACCTCTTGCGACAAACAAGAATCATGAGTTGGATAGTGAGTAACTCTTAGCTTCCTAAGCTTCACGAAAAACAGCAAGTTCAACCCTTGTATTTGGTGACTTGAGCGCACAAAGGAGGTGAAGGAAGTGCTTGATTTAGAACCTACGTTCAAGAGGATATCATCATAACCCAACGTTGTAGGAAATACAAGAAGGAAGGACTAGACTCTACCTCCTTGTGTGAATTGCTTCGGCTGAGCAAGGAGAAAAGAATGAAACTTGATGATAATGATTCCCTAAGGTCCACGATTTGAAGCAAGAGGGATAGGAAAAATGCAAGATTGTTTCTGGATAATCACTCCTCTCTTGTGTTAGGGTTTTGGGTAGGAAAATGAGATGGTACAGCTGCGTTTTATTTTCTGTTTCACAAACTCAATGCTTCACTCTACTTCTTTCCTATCAGCGCTAAGGGTGAGTGAAAGGGAGTTAAATGCTGATTCAAATTGTTACAATGACCATGAAAACAGCAAGACTATGCTATCATTTATGCGCACAAAGGGGAGAGAAAGAGTGAAAGGATTCTGCCCAATTACATCACATGCAAGCTGACCTCTTTATTTGTTATTGGCTGCATGTATTAAAGCTGGATTATGTGGCTGATTTTACAAGCAACAACTCCCCTTTTTGGTACAACCTATGCGCAAGGGAGAAAGGGATAGGTGCAAAGGCTGACTTGGTTTCCTTTAGATGACTTGATCAGAATTCCTTTTTCTTTTTGCCTAACCAAGGCGTACAAATGGAGAGGAGCAAGATATGGTTTTCCATTTGTCAATCATGCAAGCAAGAATCAGAATTTTTTTCTAAGCCCTAAGCGTACAAGTGGAGGGGAATAATGATGGCTTTTGCGATGTGGTGATTGCTACCCAATGAGGGGTTGTTTTGTTGGATTACTTAGGATAATGTGAGGATAATTAAAGGATTTTGGCTGAACCTAATCACTCCTAAAGGCCTTTGGGCCTTCGGCCATATAAGAATTTGGGCTACAAACTTGCAAATGCATTAGTGTTACTAACCTAAATCCTAGCCCATAAAAATTATAAGTTCCCAAGTCTTTTAAGTCTTTTAATTTTTAATTCTTCTTATACGTTATTACTAAATCATTCTTATAATTCTTAACTAACATTCCTTATGTCCAAAATAAATTCTCATCTATTATTATAATTCAATAATTCTCCAACTCAATATTAATTCTATACTAATAGCTATATAATTCGAAGATCAAGCATGAATTACACCTAACTCGAATTTAACATAGTATCCATAATCCTCA